GGACAAAAGTAACGCGAAGTATCGTCCGTCGCCGTTCGTGTCCGAGCAGTAATTACGGCGTTATGCAGCACAAACGGCTTCCTGCAGACAAAAAATGCAAACGGCAACCCCAGGACAGAGGAGGACGACAGAGGGGAGCAGACATATGTCTTTTACTACCCGGCTCTGTGCAGCGAGCGCACCCACACATGCCGGACTGAGACAGTGGCACAAAACTGCAAACGCAGCAATCATCGGCACCAGTGGACAGTATGAGCAGAGTCGCTGGCAAGATGCACGCATATTAGGGCCTAATCTGGCAAAAATATCTCACAATGCCGTCTCTGTGGGCTGTCATAGGGCGGAGGTTCCTCAGAAACACAACAAGGGCGTCTCACAGAACGGCGAGAGACCACGGTCCAGACTGGGCACCAATACAGGCAAACCTCCCCGTACTCGTTGGCTGTTTCTACGAATTACATGACGGGGCTTCTTCCTATTCGTACAAAAGCAGCAGCGCGGGTAGCCCTGGGCACTCCCGTCTCTTTCCCTCCACCTGGAGATGTATTCGTTCCCTCTGGTCCCTCCCTTCCATCCCTTCTGGACTCTGAGGCCTCGTGTCCTGTGTAAGCATGCTGACGCAAACTGTAAGATACGATGCCTCTCAGTAGCAAACCTCTGTGGCCCTGCATGGCGTCACCAGAAGGGGGGAGAAAGCAATGAAAAAAATACAAACCAAACAGATCAAAAGCCAATAACCCACAACATATGGTGCCGTTGGCTAATCATCTGCCGTGCACTGATGCACAACCAAACATCCCATTTGCGTTTCTCCTTGCCGTTCTGCGCAGCGGGCCTATCCTCTTCCCTTTTCCCCTTTGAGAAGTGTTTGCCAGAAAGTCAGCGTTCCTGGGTGTTGACCAGCTGTTTCCTTACTTTTTCAGGGAAATGGAGCGAGTTTGGCTGGGCTAGGCCTCATCTGGCAGTTAGGCCTACCCCAGGGGGGCGTGCCGCTCCTTTGTCCCACGCCCCCCCCCCCACCAGATCGCACCCCTGTGTCACTTATCCCCTTCTCTGGCCGGTTGTCGTCTGCGTCAGGCAGTCCTCTGTTTTCCCTCTCCATTCGTTCGCTGGTTTGCCCTCGCGCATCCGTTTCTGCTCGGTTCTGGAATAAACTGGCGAAGCATGTGTTTTCTATTTTGTTTCTTGATTTCCATGATGCTGTCAAGCAGAAACACGAGCAGAAAACATTGGCCACGGAGGGATCTCCGTTTGTAGACGTCGTGGCCTCTGGTGCTTTGCAAGCTTTCCAATTCACAAATTGGCCTTTTCTTCTGTTTGCCTTTTTCGAGCCCCCCCCCCCCTCCCCTTGCCTTACCCGAGGATTGCTCACTCCCAATTCTTTCTCGCCATATTCAGGCTTTTACACACTCTACTTCGTACCTTCGGTCCACGCCCACAGACACCCCACCCCATGCCCCCCTGTCACCCCGACTCTCCCTCGCTGCCGTTCCCAGTCTTGTGCTCGTCAATGATCCAGGGCCCAGCAAAAGCGCGCCGTAGCGACCCGTTTGTGCCAGCGGAATCCTTGGCGGTCGCCAGTGGGTGCAGAGGTGCAGAACAAGGAAAGAAAAAAAGCAAGACACCCACACCCATGCCGTCTTTGGGAGTGGGAGAAAACAAGACGAAAGACATGGGGAGGGTGACAGGTTCAAAAATCCTAATAAGAAGCCCCGGATCCCACCTCTCATCGATCAATTCCACTTCTTTCAACCTCTTGGTCTGTTTTGCCCTTCTGTTCGCTGACAACGCACATCTACTTTTTGGCTTGACGACGCCGCTGCGACGAAAGAACGAGGTCAGAAGACGACAAAGGCAACAAAGGTGCGTTTCCCGCCATGTGAGTTGTTGTGCTTTTGGTTTTGTGCGTTTTGCTGTTTTCGGTTTCTTCCGTGTCTCGCTTTCCTGTCTGCCATTCGCTCTTATCTCATCCCATTTGTGGCCTACATTCATCGACACGCAAAACACAGTCATGATCTTGATAGTGCACAAAGGTTCACGGCCTCTTTCATTCATTGCTTGCCCATCTGCCCATCTAATCACATTCGTTGTATCTGTTTCCCCCTCCCCCGTCCCATTCCGAGTTCTTTCACAACACTCGGTTTTCTTTGTCCTCTCTTGAACCCCACTTGTCGTCACTGCGAGACCCGTTACCACGAAGAAAGCCACCTCCAGATCAGTCCACAAGACCTCCAGGCCCAGCGCCCGAACGGACGACCAAGGGAAAACGCCAGGCTAGAATTAGCCGAGACCTACCCACCGGCTTGCGCGGGAGTGACGGGCAGCAGCGGCGAACGTCTTCTTTTCTTTATTATGTCTCGACGGCCTGCAGGCTAAGTACTGGGAACAGAAGGGATCGGATTGAGCACTAAAGTTAGTGGGAGGTGAAAGTAGCGGTAACCTCGGACGATGTGGCTTGGATAAGGGTAGCACAAGATGGTGTGCCCCAGATTTGGGAAGCTTGGACAGTCGAGGTACGGTCAAAACGGTAGCAACTGAGGCAGCGGCAGCAGCAGGTTACCTGCCATTGCGGCACCAGCAATCCGTCGTGGACAGCAGCGCACGGCACAGACCCCAGTTCGTGTGGCCTCAACGACATGGTGAGACGGCGAGTTTGCAGTGGAATTTGAAATTACCACAATTCTCGCCTATCCTACGGCGAGGCAGCTCAACGTGCATATGTCGCTTTGAAACAAGACATGGCAAAATACATTGTATGAACAAATGGCCTATCCCACCAACATGCTCGCACGCCATCGCCTTTCGCCACGGCCATGAACTATTTTGCTTTTGCCCCAGCTGATTCTCGACGGATTCTGCCGCCGTCGCCGGTCTGCTGTTGCCACTGGCCTTGTCAACCGCTGTGTGTTTTTGGCGAGGAGAGAATGCGATGGAAAGAGGAGAATAGAAAGCGGCGGAGGTGTACTGTTGTCGTCGACGCCCTCTGCGAAGACAGTCGAACGCAACCTCTCCGAGCTTGTCTTTTCGACTGAAACCGCCTTGCTTCCCATCGTACGGCACGAGACATGAACGGACCATTGCACAAAGGCGCGGTTGCACACCCGCCTGACACATGCTGGTCTGGCAGCTGTTGTCTCACCATGACATGGCTGTTGCAAGGTCCAGGGCAAGTGCCGCTGGGTACACAAAGGGACAGGAACGAGACTACACCACATGACACAACACGACAGACACAGCAGACACACGAGGCGACCAGTGCCGCTGCGAAAGGACCACGGCCCTACAAGCCAAAGCTCGTCGCCGGCCTTATTTTGTGGCCATGGAGCCTGGGCATTCCGGGCGATTAGGCCGCGTGAAAAGGGAGAACAAAGACGGACGACATCCCAGTCCCAAAAAAATAGTCAGCAACCAAGTGGGGGGGCAGAACAAAGAACAAGAAGGGCCAAGTGCCACCGTCTGCGGCTTCTGGCTTCGTTTCACTGTGGACTGCGGCTTGCGGGCAACGGCTGGCGGGCAGGCGGGCAGGCGGGCTGCGGCGTGCGGCGTGCGGCAGCAGACAGTAGGCCCTGTTGCAGCCCATCCTTACCCGCCCGCCCTGTCATGAGTTCCTTCCGTCCTCGACTAGGCGCACACGCCGTTTTTTTAGCAGTGTCCTTCACCACTACACATCGCCTGCGGAAGGCGCTACTGGCATTGGCCCTGCGCTGGCGTCCGCTGCACATCACGCACCACAAGGTACTTTGCCCAGTAGCGGCGGCGAGCCTGCGTTGGCTTGAGAGGCGATGCGCAGAATAGCGAAAGGAAAGGCGCGTGTGGACGCGGAGCGGTCCATGTACCTGGGGCCGCACCTAGTTCGCTGACCCTGAGTGTGCATGGGCCCGTACTGTATACTTTGTTACCACACTTTTACCCTTTACCCACCAAGCCAGCAAGCCAGCAAGCCAGCAAGCCAGCAAGCCAGCAAATCCCCCCAGTGCAGCCAAGCCGGGCCTGCCCTGTCATTTGGTCGCGCCTTCCCTCCCCTTGTCCCATTCCCCCTGTTCGCGCCCAGCCCAGCGCAACATAGGCAGTGCCCGCCGACCACCCTCCCATCGCTCCTGCCAACACTACCACACCACACCTTACCACCCATCACACATCATATGGCAGCCCGCTAAACCGCCCCTCCCCCTCGCTCACTAGCATGCTGGCGTAGCGCATACAGACGGTAAACGAGTCCTCTCTAGAACGAGCCGCATTATAATACAGCAGACCGCCCCCCGTCCTCTTTCCTGGGACCCCCTTTGCTCTCCTTCGCTCCTTCTCTCCTTCTCTCCTTCCCTCCCCGAACTCTCTTGTGGCCCTGACTCTCCCCTCACTCCTTCTCTTTTTTACCCTTTTCACCCCTCGCTCCTGCCTCAGCTTTCCCATCGTGCCTTCCTATTTCTCTTTTTTTTTTCTTTTGCTTTGAGCTGGACTATTTCTTCGCGTCTCTTCAAAACAAGGAACCTTTTTTATCTCATCTCCCGTTATTTTTGCGGTCTTCCCTTCTTCCCTGCCATCCACCCAACGGCATCTACCCGCCTCCCCATCTCTTCCGTATTGCTTCTTAGTCTTTTGTACAAGTCTTCTTTTTTTCGACGGTCCTCTGCGAGTGTGCTTTGTCCTGGCCTATCGTTACTAACATTCGACCCAACCGAGTCAGCTTTCAACGAGGAACAGTTTTGTTGCCACCCTCCTTTCACTTTTGACCGTTTGTTTTGTTCTCTCTCCCCTTGACCTTGTCATCACCTTTTTTTCTTCAATTCCGCCTACGTCGTTATCCTTACCGGGACATCACCTGTTGGACGTTGGGTCTCGGCCGCCTATTTACGAAGTACATCACCACCTTCTTCCTCTTCAGTCGTTCTCATAAGTCCTCTCCCTTTCACCTACATCTCGCCCCTTTGTGCTCCACTGCTTGGTTTGCCAAACTGGCGCCCATCACAGAGTTCCGGTCACACCAACACTATCCTCCCAATATGGCGGATGAGGGGCGGCCCAAGCCGGCCCAGAATCCCGCAGGTCGCGAGGTCGGCATCATCAAGTCCGAGGAGGAGGACGACGATCGTCACCACCGCCCACAGCCGCTCCAGCTCGGCGGCGACAATAATACCAGCAACAGCAACAGCAACAATGGCACCAACAACGGGAGCCAAAATGACAACAGAGGCGGCGGCGGCGGCGGCGGTAGTGGTAGCGCGGTAACTCTGCCATCGTTTAGGGAAGCTTATGGCACCTATGCCCGTTACGAACCTCCGCGCCCGCCGCACCATGACCCAGCCGGCCGTCCCATGCCAGGCCCGCCCCGGCCGTACGGCGAGGACCCGAACCAGCATCGCCTTCCTGGTCCCCCTGGACCCCCTGGCCTCCCGGGTCCACATGGCCCGCCCGGCCCTCCCGGGCCTCCCGGCCCTCCCAGTCAGCACGGCGGCCCCCCGGATCCTTACGCTTCTCGCATGCACCCGCACCCCGAGCAGGGATACCGCGACAGCTATCCCTACGGCGCCCCGTATCACCCGTACCAAGACCACCCTCCCCCTCCGCATGGCCAGTACTGGCCTCAGCAGCAAATGCCGCAGTACCAGAATGGTCCGCCTGAGACTGCGCCACGCCAGCGCACTTCTATTGCGTGCAAGTATTGCCGTAAACGCAAGGTTCGTGTTTTGCGTCTATTCTACTACTTTGTCTGGCACCTGTTCCGTATGACTTCTCTACTAACACTACGCAATCAGATTCGCTGCAGCGGCTATCAGAATACCCCTGATGGCAAATGCACGAACTGCAAGAAGACGGGCAACGACTGTGTGTTTCAGCCTGTCTCCTCGACAACCTCTACAGCCTTTGTACCAGTGTCTGCTATCCAGGGTGGCGTGCCTCCTGGCACCCCGCTGTACGGCGCTTTTGGCCAGCCACTTGGCCCCAATGGGGGACGTGGCCCCAACGGTCCTCCCGGCAGCGGCCCTCCTCCCAGTGCTGGCCCGATGAATGGGCCCGGAGGCCACCCTGGCTACGGCCCGACTTCTCCCGGCGCTGGTGGTTTCTACCAGCAGCAGCCTCATGGCCCCCCGCATATGGATCGTGGACCCCCGTATGGACCTCCGCACCCGTCGTCTCAAGCTCCTCCTCCGCCCGGTCGCCAGTTGCCGCTTCCGTACCCTCAGCACCAGCAGCCTGCCGGCTACCCCAGTGAAGACCCGCAGCGCGCTCGCAAGCGGACCCGCGAAGAAGAGGAAGCCGAATTCCCGAACCGTTTGCCGCCACCGCCTCCCTACGGCAACTACCCGCCCGCCAGTCACGAAATGGGCTACTATCGCGGACCAGAGGACGCCCGTCGTTCCCCGCCCTCGATGAATGGTTCTGCCTCTGGACCCGGCTCCGCTGTCTCCCCCTCGACTAGTGCTCCCCGTGGCTACGGGACGCCTGCACCTCCGGTACTTCCGCCACCCCCTATGTCCTCTGTGGGTACCGAGTACGCGATACCTGCAATTCCTACCGCATTTACGGTATAGACGAGCAGCGCAGTTGAGGACCTGATTTGCTAACATTTTTTTTTCAATTGGCAGCAGTACCAGCGCCCGTAGCAACGGTAGTGTTTCGGGTACCACCGCCACACCACCTACGGAACACCGTGGATCCAGATCGCCAAGTGGTGAAGCGGATGACAAGTCTAAATTTCCGGCGTCTGGCTACTACGCGTTCACTTTTCAAGCCAACAACGTGCGCGAGCCAAAGGCTGGCGGGGACATTGACAACTCCATGCTGAGGCGATTTTGAAGCGACTGCAGCCGGTCTAATTCGCTTGCTGAATCACGACTCGCCCATTTTCACTTCTACTTTGTTTCTTTTCGAAGCTCTTTTTTCTCTCTCTTTTTTTCCTACTTCACCCAAGAGGTTTTCCTTGATGTGCGACAGCGTCCAAGGAAGGTTAGGCTACTTTAGTGACCGGATTCTATCCCAGACTGGCTCCGGGTTGTGCAGCCGGCATTCGACAGTATTCAACCTTTTTTTTTCCGCTGTCGCACCTTTTGCCCCACCCTTTCTCCTTTCTCCCCCTTTCAACTCTTCTAGATGGCTTGCAGCGATGCTCGGCCCTGCCACGCGTTTGTTTCTCAAGTTTCTTTTTCGTTTCTTTCCTTTTGTCGGTTCGGGTTCGATAACCCTGGAAAAATAAGAAGTCTAGCCTCACGGCATTACGAAATGACTGCAATTGTCTCTTTGTCCCTTTTCTCTCTTACAATTATAGCATCAAAGCTACCCCCCGCAAACATGCCCTGTCACATTTGTTTCTTGCCTTGTTTCTACGCATCCCCCCCAAAATTATCATGTATTGTTTACCCTTCATGTCGCCTCATCATCCATTTCAATTATTTCATACTCGATGTTTAATTTGCTTTCATTCCAATTTTATTTTACTTATTTCGTTTGGTCTCGTTATTTATTCTACCTGGGTGCGTTGGCTGGAAGGGCTCTCGAAGGAAAGGAACTTGGGTGGCACTGCTACTGGCCACTATGGGATAGTGGTCAAGGAAGAAAGGGAAATTTTCAAAAATTCAAAACGGGCTTACATAGGGACACCCCGACAGTCGCGCGAGCGAACAGTTACGACCGTGTCCTCTATTTAGACTAATCTGAATTTACCATGTTCTGACCTCGATGCCTCCAGTTTCGCTTCTCGCATTGTGGTGTTCTATATTGTCCGGGCACCAAGAAGGCCAAAATCAACGGCCATACGCATGGTCACCGGCAGCCAACTATTTTCGTTCATAGGCCATTCTTTGTCTGGTCTCTCTCCCTCAAGGTGAAGTTTGTACCACGTGCGTGGTAGGGTACGAGAAATGTGAGGCTCTCGTCAGATGCCGGAGTAGAATCGAGTCGAATTTTCTTTTTTTTTCTTTCTTTTTTCCAAGGCACGCCAGAGTTCTGCCCGCCATGATCGAGTTGGTCCACTTTGTCGTTTGCACTTTGTTCACGGAGAGAAAGAAGGGGGGAAATGGGATCAAGGTTTCTTTGGGTTTTCGCTGCCCTTCATTTTGGATTGTCGGTTTTGTCTCCTTTCAAGAGAGAGGGGCCGTGCTTTTGGATTTTAGTGCGCCTAGTTCGTAGCGGCAAGGGGCGAGGCGACCTGCAGACGGGGTGCAATACGGAAAGGGAAGGGTTCGGAAGGGAAGTGGGACTGCCCTTGTAGACTTCTTGTGGGGCAACGAAGGGAGAGAGGGGCCCAGAAACCGCGCTGGTAATAAGCGCCAAATAGACTGCTAGCTCTTTTTTTTTTTTTTTTTTTTTGTGTGTGCTGGAGGGGGGAAACTACGACACCATTTGGTTTTAGGGCTGTTTAGTGCAGTTTCGTCTCTGATGTGATGTCCAGGAAAGAGCGCTCCGTGAGGTGGGAGGAACGAGGTAATAATTACAGTGCAATACGACAAACATATGCGTTGGTTGGCATGCCATTAAATAGGTCCAAAAACAAAGGGAAAGCCCAATAACAACCATTGGATGGGGTGATCCGGCGCAGAACAGAGGACGGGAAAAGTACTGCTGTAGAACTGTGTCACAACATCAGAAGAGAGGATATTGGCCGGGTGGCAAATGCCAGTCCTCGGGGATGGTTGGACGACCATTTTTGTTGTGAGTAGTAAGGGTGCCGTCAGCCGGACTTGCGCTGGGCTAGCCGAATGGCGAGAGGTAATACGTGATGAAACTCGGCTCAGCGCTCAGCGACGGCTCAGCGGCTGCTCCGCTGAGGCCGGACGTGTGATGAAGTTGGATTGACGATGCGATGGATGGTGTATATGTCGGCTTGATATTGGGACGACTGGGTAGGAGGGTACGTCAGTTGGGAAAATGGCAACTGGGTGAATAAGAAAAGATCGGTTTAGGTACGCATTAAATGCATGACAAGAAAAGATAAGAGCGATAGAGACACTTGAAGAGCATACTACCAATCAATCAATACGAGAAAGCCAAGTAAACGCAATGCTGTCAAAGAGGCGTCCGATATCTGTGAATCCGGTTAGCATCTGGCGACAGTCAGCCAAAGGGACGAGAGCCAGTGATATGTACGACATAGCGCTGCCTGCAAGTCATTCCCGCGCCGCTTCAGCGTGCTCCTTAGCCTGTGGCAGGATCGGAGATGTGCCGCTCGACTCCTGTCTGCCAAAGGGCGACTGTTTACAGCAAACATCTGATTTTTTTGGTCTGTTTTTTTTCTGTTGGCCATCGATTTTTTATTCTCCTTCCCATCCCCACCACCACATGTCGTCTTTCAAGTGATGGATCAGCATACAGGCAAATTCTGTTTTGGGCAACTCGCATGTGAGACACTCAAAGGGAAAAAGTGGCACGTTGTCTGACAGGCTTTGTCTTTCCCATGCCCGCTGGGCTGGCCCTTTTCGTTCGTGGCCATGAGCGGGTGGCTCACAACGCCTCTTGCGTGTCTGCGTGTCTACGTGTCTGCGTGTCTTGCATGCCTCGTTGTGTTGAGACAACGTCCTGTCCTTTTGTCGATGTGCCTGCATGAGTCTTCAGCCTATTCTGTACCCCTCTTCCCGTCCCGACGAAGGCGCCGCTTGTGCCATTATTTGCCACCCGTTCACAAACTACCCTTTAACGAGTTTGACTTTTTGCCCGGGTGACCTCACAAGAAGCCCACCCATTGACCAAACAGAAGCTGTGGAACAATCTTTCTCATCTCACCCGCATCCCCGGGGTTGTGATGAGAGTGACACATACGCGCTCGCACACACGCAATAAAAACTGGAAAAGCCGTTGCCCGAAACCCGTATGCGAGATCGCTCGCTATTTTTCAGTCCGCGCTCCGCCATGAAGCTCGAAGCAGTGGCAAGAATCAAAAAAAAAGAAAAAAAAAGAAAAAAAAAGAAAAAAAAAAGAAAAAGAAAAGAAAAAAAGACCAAATCGTACAGTCCACGCGGAATGGGGCGCATCTCTCCAAGCCTGTCCGTGGTAAGCACGACAGAGGACCAAAAAAGGCAGTTCGAGGTGAGAGATGCCGGCTACACGCGCTGATTGGCTGCCCACCAAGTTGGCTACGAGAAACCAACGAACCGCACCAATTGGCACCGAATGCTAGCCTCGGGGCCTCTTGGGGCCAACCAGGTGAGCCAGAGCCACCCTGAGAAAGATGCCCAGGTCCATAAAAACCAGGAAACAAAAAAGGGGGGACAGGGTCTTCTTCGAACGGAGTAGGAGGTCCTGTTCTCGGGGACGGCAAAAAGGGACAAAAAAAACTAAACGAAGAAGACAGGGATGAGGTCTAAGCGTGAGGAAAAAGAAAAAGAAAAAAGAAAGGTAAAAAGGTAAAAACTGCCGTTGTTTGGGGAAAGGAACGGAACACGAGCATGCATTGGTAGGAGGGTGTATGTATCAGAAAGCAGGGCAAAAGGATAACTGCCAGTCCAAGGTTTGGTGTGCAAGGGGAACTTGTACGACGGAACCAAGAGGTCGACGCCACATTATGGACCACAGGACCGTTCGATAAAGGCAAAAGGGCATTTCGAACAGGCCAGCGCATCAGACAAGAACGTCAACACCGCCGTACACTCCTTGAGGTGACTTCTTGCAATGTTCTGCCTTAGTGGGTGCCAGAATTGTGTTGGTCATTCGGAAGGATATCCCGTATGTCAATCCATGCTGGTTTTCCAACAGCACGCTCGGTTGTATGAGCGTAAAGGGATCCGCTTGGTGGACTCGACTCAAGAAAAACTGGAAGATGCCGTCGGCATTGTTGCCTGGACCTGGGTTCTCGTGTTTCGAGGAAATTTTCGAACAAAGAAAGACGGCCAGGATTCTGGATTATGGACGCTGGCAGGGATATGGCATGTTCGAAGGGTGCGCCAGGATGGAGTCTTCGTTGATGTGCATTCTGTACTCGTCCACCGTGACTACACTGAACGGACAGCATCGTTTCTTGGTCAGACTCCGCAGCTGCGCAGGCTGCATGCATCGTACATATGCATCGTACATACGACGTATATGTAAAAGGCAAACACGAATTCCTGCAGTCGACAATCGACATACTGTCGGCGGACATGCGCCATTTTGCGGCTACCCGCATGGAATTCGTGGCAAGCTCTCATGATCTCCTCACTTGTCCCCGCCGTATACTGTACGGAACGTTTTCTTCAAGTGAATTTAGATGGCCAGACCCTCGCCCACGCCGTATTTGTCCACTTTCATCGTTCGTCGGCCGCCCTGGCGTACGTTTGTGCGTTTGCGTGAACGCCAACGCTTCACCCGAACAGGTGTTGCGCTGGCCACAGGACCTCTTTCCACAGCGTGATGAGCAAGACTTATACTCCGTCGCGGAAACCAGATGCTTTTGTCAACGTTGGTACTGCTGCAGCAAGCCGAGCAAGGGGAGGGCGGAGAGACTTCAGTGCTCTTGGGAAGGGAGAATGTCTACCCCCTTTCCATTGTCGTTTGGCGGCCGTCATTCACAGTTTCCCAAAACGTCACGGCTCCCTGTCGGCTCCCCGCTTTGACAAAGCCTACTGACAATAGCCTGCCTTTCTTGCGCGGGTTCTCTTTGTTCTCGGGCGGCTGGTGCGGGTGCTAGTTTCGAAGCTTGTCACTCCGTGTCCTCCGTGCAGTGGCGCCCGAGCAGAAAAGGAAACGGCGCAAAGGGCACTAAAACAAGAACGAGCCGCAAAAGGACCACAGGGACAGGATGAAGCAAGAAAAAGCAGACTCCAGTAGACACTAGAAACAAAGAAACAAAGGACAGAGGGAGAAAACAACGCACCAAGTGGCTCCCGCCC